AAAGCGGGGTTACTGTGCAATTGCAATTAGATATCTATACAAACATAATATAAGGTGGTTTACAATTTCTTAAATAATAGCATATGATAACAATGAAAACACTCTGCTCTGACTTTGATTCATAATCATCCAGTTTGTGCAAAAAAAAAATAATATTAATAGTAGTAGTAGTAGTAGTAGTAGTATTTATTTTTATTTTATTTATTTATTTTTTATATAATCATATGGCCCAGCTCTAACCAAAACTGATTATGGATTGTTTGAAATTACCTAAACTCAATCTCTATTAAAATGTGATCATTACCATTCTAACAGGAACCATGTTCATTCTGACAGCAGTATGCAGTGTTGGGGAGTAACAGATTACATGTACCGTAGTTACGTAATCAGAGTACAAATTTTGAGTAACTGTATTCAGTTACAGTTACTGTTTCAGTGAGTGGTAATTGGATTACAGTTACTTTGTTGAAATAAATGGATTACATGGCGGTATTTTCCTATTTTCACATTTTGGGCTATATCCTTTTTTTTCCTTTTTTTTTTTTAGTAATTCCAATCATTGCTGGACACTAAACCAGGATTAAAACCAAGTCTAAACCAGGACTAAATCAGGATTGATCCAGGACTGAACCCATGTCTAAACCAGGACTAAAACCATGTCTAAACCAGGACTAAACCAGGACTAAAACCAGGTCTAAACCAGGACTAAAACCAAGTCTAAACCAGGACTAAACCAGGTCTAAACCAGGACTAAACCAGGTCTAAAACCAGGTCTAAATTAGATCTAAACCAGGACTAAACAGGATTTAACAGGACAAAACTATTCTCTCAATAATATTTTTAATACGGTTAAGGAAAGTCTGGGCTTTTTATTTTCTTTTAGCAGACAAAACATCTTGTGTTGCAATATCCAAGTCTTTGCTTCTCTACAGCAAATCAATTAATCCAAAGTATTCAGATTACGTTACTCACTTTAAGTAATTTAATGGATTACTGTACAAACTACATTTTGGGGTGTGTAATCTGTAATCTGTAGGGGAATACATTTTAAAAGTCACCTTCCCAACACTGGCAGTATGTAATTACTTGTAGTAGACTTCTGACCACACATTTTTGGTTTTGTTTTAGTCAACAGGTCAGTGAAGTGAAGTTGGAATTTTAGTGTCTAGAAGCCACAATGTCTGTAGTTATTAATATGTTTATTAATATGTACCAATATGCATTTAGATGAAGAAATCTAATTTCAAAGAATGTTATAGGTTCTAAGTCTTAAAATGTCATACAGTGAAAGGGGTAACACATAGAATTAGAGATAACATTTGCTTGCACAAATTATACCAGCTAAACCAGTTTTAATATAATTCTGATATAATTTTAAAAATATTACACTTGAAATCAATGCTTGTTTCTCTTTAATGGAAAAAGTATATACCAGTTTAGAATGAAAATGTATGAAAAATGTCATTTTCAGTCAAATAGAACTTGTCATTTGGTGAAACAAACCTGTGCCTGTTGTAGGTAACATTAAATATTTAACTAAAAAACATCAGAATTTATTTAAACATTTTATTTGCATTATTTAACTAATTATATATGCTACGGTATTAAAGTACTATGTAAAATAATCACACAAATACGGGAAATTAGGTTTGGTATATTAGCAATAGCAATTATTCAAAATGTAATTGGACAGTCAGTATTAAATGTAGTTAGATCAACATTGGGATTTAGTTGAGTTATATATATATATATATATATATATATATATATATATATATATATATATATATATATATATATATATATATATATATATATATATATATATATATATATAGTCAGTTTCAAAAGCCATTTTTTTTGTTCACTGATCCTGAGGTTGGCGGTTCGAATCCCACTCTTGACATAAACATCATTGGTCCGGCGGTCTGATTCACTGACCCACAGGTACGTGGTGCAATTCCAGTTCCCACAGAGGAATGTGGTCATTGTGTCCATGGGCAAGACACTTAACCCACCTTGCCCCCAGTGTCTGCGTACACTGGTGTGTGAGTGTGTGTGAGTGGTTCCTTAGTGTAAAGTGCTTTGTGTGTCTTGATGGTGGAAAAGAGCTGAAAAATTTGACCATTTACCAGATATGAGAGTTAAGGGCAAATTGTGAAAAGAAAAAAAAAAACTTTGTAATGGTCTACTTTTTATTTGTAGATCTCAGTTTGTGGTTTTCATCATTTTAAATAATATAGTTTATTTAAAATGTAATTACATATCAAAGTACATCTTTTTCACTAACTTACATTTTTAAGATGTCCCTGGTGTTAAATGCAGAATTTTTTTTTTTATCAATGTGTTTTTTTTTCAAGGGGCATTAAATGATAAAATATACATTTAAATATACCAGAAAAATGTAATATTTTGCATGTCATTATATTTTCATTTTCTGAAATTGCAAAACATCACTGACCCCAAGATAAAAGTTATATTCATTTAGTTTAGACAAAATCTACAATGCAGTCAGTTAATCAACCACAAAACACTGTTAATCTAATACTAAGAATGTTTGTTTTATGGCACACAGTCCTTGGACATAGAGCTTGTCTATGGTGTTGTAGGGCTTTGCAAATGATAACGGGAGCTCGGTGTCTCCACTTGTCTGTTTTTTCATTTTAATTAGCCAATGCATATATCTGTAATTTAAGTTAGTTTAAGTCCAGTTTTGCTCATTACTTGACTTAACTATGATATTTCTGACTGCACCATGCACAGACAAGAAAAAAAAGGGACAATGCCAAACCACTGTAAATGTACATGTGTATGAAATCATGTCATGGTTGTGTGGCTGTGTTCAGTTTTGTTGAATTTTACCTCCTTAAAGCCATAGTATGATATTTAATATCAAAAAATAGAGGAGGGTCATCTGCTTGCGTCCACAGAAATGTTGTTCCTTTGGCTATAATCCTCCACAGTATGGTAAAACATCTCCATGGAGAATGTTTGGGAGTATGGTTTTAACTTTCTATTTCCATGGAATCATGTGGTTGATTTTCCACCTCCAGATGAATTTAAAGACAGTATATCTTCCTGGATCATCTGGAGGGATAGACCAATGTAGTGGCCAGTCAATATATAGGATTGATATTTGTAGTTTTTGGCCCTAAATCACAAGCAAAGGCTGATCTTTGTTTGGCCCAACCAGCAGCCTAAATATGCATAAAGAATGTATGTCTAAAGCTTTATTGTGTTATAAACACAACCGAAAAGAAAAAAAAAGGAAAAGGTGCTTTATTTTATTCAAATTTTGGCTAAAAGTTTACATACCGTGGTTTTAAATAATAAATATGATAAGACAACAAAGCATGTTCTACTGTTGATACAGTGCATAAGACAAATATAACACAGACAAATATATAATAAAAATAATTCTTCCAGACTAATTCTTGCCTCTGGACTACACCTGGAACACACCTAGAGTGAGATCAAATGTGGCATTAACTACTACAGCCCACAGACCTTGGAGACCACAAACCACATCACAACTAGGACTAAACTGGGACTAAACTCAGAACTAAACCAGAAAAGAATCAACTTAACATCCAGTACTAGTGTACTCATGATGCTAAAATTTCAAACTCAGTTTCGATTAAATCTTTATAGCACTTTCTTTCATATTATCACGTGGTCTTATATGTAATCTGTCAGTGGTCCAGGTAGGTTCCATAGTGGTCTACACTAGTCTATGTGCTCTTATTCTTGTTCTGATACAACTCAACCCTAAAGACATTCAGGAAAGGCTTATTTCTGCTCTGTGAATGAGACTTTATAGTATCAATACTTGCTCAAATAAGTATGAGTTTCTATACTAGTTTTAATATTGATTATGATGATGTTCGATACTTTTGCCAACCCTTTTCAGTACTAAATCAGGACTAAGCCAGGTGTTTGGGGCCTTAGATTCAGACCATGAGAAAAGAAGCTAAAATCTAAAGTACCTACATACCAGATGTTTTGACAGTTTGACTTGTAAATTAAAGATACACTATCTAACTTTTCTGGTGAAGGGTCCGCCCTATCCTCCGTTTCAAGGAGATATTTTTGTTTTGCTAGCATTCTAAGCAAAACACAGTATGGCTGAGACACATTTTTGTTTAAACAATTCAGTTTTTGTCTTGAAGCTAATGCTAAGATAATCTAACTCAAAATAGAATATTAAAAAAATATTTACGAAAAATACAACTAATGAAAGGTTAGTTGTTCTGGTGGCGTGTGGCATTATTTTAACATGAATAATTCCATTTAATGTATGTTAGCATTAGCATAGACAGAAATACCTGCTTTTCAACACACAAGTTTCAGTTTAAACGCAGTCTATCATCCATCTGGAAATGACAATTAGAAGATATTTACATCTGTACTTTACTAGTGGAAGTGGAAATGCTATTGCTTTGCCTGGAATATTGCAGAGTTTGGAATTAAAACTGTCTTCTTGGAGACAAGCAAGTAATGCCACCTCATCACATTATAAGTCTGATCTGTGGAGAGGTGACTCAAACCACACAACAGAATGCATGTTGTTGAAGGTGTTGTTAAGAGAAATAATTATGTCCCTTAATAACTGCAACCACTGGACATTCTAATGCAGGTGAAGCCCTGACAGCTCCTGGGAAACTAGAGGAAATGGACCCTGAATAGTTACTGACCACAAAACATGGGTTAACATGTGGAGTTGGTTAGATGGCTTTCTGTTAACAGACCAAAATCACTGGCCAGCACAGCTCAGGTTAACAAATCCTTAATTGATAGTAGAATGCATCTCAGTTCATTTATTAGCTTAGACTTTTCAAAGGAATAGAAGCTAAATAAGATTTTGATTTTAATTTTTAAATGGCCTGTGTCTCCAGATACGATGTAGACATGGTCATATCAAATGTTGTTACTGCAGCTGCAGCTACACCTACACCAGCTACACATGTGTGCGCCAGAAGCGCTGGAAGAAGAGGCCTTACCCAGGTATTTGATGGTGAATCCCCGCGGGGGGTTGAGGGACCTCCGCATCCAGCCCTCCCTCAGGACCTCCAGGTGGTCCTCCTTCCCCTGGATCAGAAGCACATGCTCGTCTATCCATCCCAGGAAGAAGGTCTCAGAGACGGCCTCGGTGATGCGCTGGTTCCACACGCGCTGCTGCGCGTTCTCCGCTTTGAAATCAGCAAAGATCTCGTAGCCCGTGTGATGTCTGGGCAGCTCCTCGCTCTCAGACACACGGCTGGTCCCCACACCCCCTTCACAGCCGTTTCTGCTCAATACTATAGCCAGGGAGTGCGGGGCTATCTGTAAAAAGGACTCCATCGATACTCGTCCTGCTAGCGCCTCATAGATTCCATTGTCTTCATGTGAAAAACAGATCTTACACCGGGAAAGGCTCCATGGTGCTCGATGCCCCCGACTCTGTGCGCTGATCTGCGGAGATACGTGAAGCTAGCCCGCTAGCTTCAGTTAGCCTCTCCGCGTTTCATCAAAGCCATCTCCAGTGACTCCCGTGTTTCCTTTGGACAAAGCCCGAAACGATACACGGCTAGTCCCGACTCCCGCATTTACCCCGCATGTCCAGTGTGCGCGGGGCAGATAAAACCACAGCTGACACACGCACGGTGCGATAAAGGTCGTTGTTAGATGAAGTACCCTTCGATTAGCTAGCTGCTAACACTATCATAAATGAATTGATCCGATTGAGACGCGCCGAGGTGTCATGCCCGTGCACACGCAGCGATAGGCTGGTACCGTGGCACCTGTTTGTTTGTGACACAATGTGTCCTCGGAGTGGTCCTTGCTCGGCGGCACAGCGGCAGGGCGCATCTGGATGTGCGTGCTCCAGGTGCGGTGATGACAGCAGCACATCTGGCTCTGAGCATCACCACCTCAGCGCCTCCCGACGTAGGCTACGCGCCACTATCACACACCACTGTCACACACCACTATTACACACACCATTATTACACACCACTGTCACACACCACTATTACACACACCACTGTCACACACCACTGTCACACTATTATCACACACCACTATCACACACATCATTATCACACACCATTATCACACACCACTATTACACACACCACTGTCACACACCACTGTCACACACCATTATCACACACCACTGTCACACACCATTATCACACATTATCACACACCACTATTACACACACCACTGTCACACACCACTGTCACACACCATTATCACACACCACTGTCACACACCATTATCACACACCACTATTACACACACCACTATTACACACACCACTATTACACACACCACTGTCACACACCATTATCACACACCACTATCACACACCACTGTCACACACCACTGTCACACACCACTATCACACACCACTATCACACACCACTGTCACACACCACTATCACACACCACTATCACACACCACTGTCACACACCACTGTCACACACCACTATCACACACTATTATCACACACCACTATCACACACCACTATTACACACACCACTATCACACACCACTGTCACACACCACTATCACACACCACTATCACACACCACTGTCACACACCACTATCACACACCACTGTCACACACCACTATCACACACCACTATCACACACCACTGTCACACACCACTGTCACACACTACTGTCACACATCACTATCGCACACCACTGTCACACACCACCATTACAGACACCACTGTCACACACCACTGTCACACACCACTGTCACACACTACTGTCACACACTCCAATAATCACACAAAACTGTCACACACCACTATCACACACCTCTGTCAGACACCACTATCACACACCATTGTCACACACCACTGTCACACATCACTATCGCACACCACTGTCACACACCACCATTACAGACACCACTGTCACACACCACTGTCACACAAGGCTATCGCACACGCCACTAATCACACACCACTGTCACACACCACCATTACAAACACCGCTATCACACACCATTGTCACACACCACTATCACATACACCACTATCACACACCATTGTCACACACCACTGTCACACACCACTATTACACAGACCATTATCACATACCACTATCACACACTACTGTCGCACACCGCTATCACACACTCCACTAATCACACACCATTGTCACACACCGCTATCCCACACCATTGCCACACACCTCTATCACACACACCACCATCACACGCACCACTAACACACACCACTGTCACACACCACTGTCACACACCATCCCACACCACTACCACACACACCACTGTCACACATCACTATCACATACACAACTTACACACACTACTATCACACATCACTGTCACACACCACTGTCACACACCACTATTACACACACCATTATTACACACCACTGTCACACACCACTATTACACACACCACTATCACACACCATTATCACACACCTCTATCACACACACCACCATCACACGCACCACTAACACACACCACTGTCACACACCACTGTCACACACCACTGTCACACGTCACTATCACACTGCGAGATTGCATAATACATTCGACTGGTTCCTACTACTTGGCTCTGTAGGCTCCTACATTGTACTCACACTGACGCAGGGGCATTCTCTAGGACTGTAGGCCAAATACACAGCTCAGGAAACTGTCCAAACCTTCTGAAGAGGACCTGGTGCACATGAAACCACTGCAGTCCTATAATTTTCTTTCTTTAATCATTAAGCCATCAGTACCAAAAGTGACTATTTCAAACATGATTTTCTAAGAGAATGTATAATATAATGTGACCTATGCTGAGCCTACAGGCTTTTGCTCTGTGCAAACCCAGGTCTACTGTTTGTTGATTTATAGTATGAGCAGTAATAAGAAGACACAAGTGCACATATGGATGCAGAGATTTAATAGTTCAGACTGACATTTCTGTTAAGTCCAGAGGGAGGGTTCCGGTCACATGCATGGGCACTGTCACACACATGGGCCCTGCCTCGCCACCTTCACCTGCTGCTTGTGTTTTCTGGAAAGAAAAGAAGTCTTTAGATGAAAAATAAATAGCAATCGCCTACTGCCTCACAGACAAATTTCACTCAGTTCAAACCTAAAATGGCTCTGATTTGAATTCTTTCCCTAAACCCTAGCACCTGTGGTCAATCCTGAGTCAGTGCTAGTGCAGCCTCTCCAGCAGAGGGAATTCTGGAGGTTATGAGCTTTCACATGAGGCATGTGTCCATATACTGAGAATGAGAAAAACTTGTAGGTGTCCTCTGTCTGCAAGTTATTAAACTGGCAACTTAGATTCTGATTGTAAAAGGCTACCTCTTTTTATCAGTAAAAGTGCTTAAGCTGTACTGCTTATACTAGTTATATGTTTGTGTAATCTAAGTCATATTAGTTTTCTTTTAGACTATTTTCTTTTAATCTATTTTAATAGTGAGATGTATTTACCTTGTTAACATGTTTGGGCTGCTAGCTGTGAGCTATCTTCAGAACTGTCACCACTCTTGGTAGTAATGTGTTGTATATCAGCTGATGTTACTTTCTGAGACATGGTCAGTCTGATGGACCTGGCAGCTCGCTCAGACTTCACCACTCCTCCTGCTGCCCGGTGCTCTCAGAAAGACCACTCCTCTTGCAACCTGCACATTACCAAGTCAGCTGACAGTTCTGAGGATAGTTCACATCTAGACGCATAACCATGTGATGGTAAATACGTCTCCTGGATAATGTTTGCCTAAAAGAACACAAACATGTCTATAGTAATGAAAGAGCAGATGAATGAATGTTACCACAGTAATGTGTAGTTCAAAACTGAAGGTGCACTATTTAACTTGTCTCCTGCCAAGTCCACCACCTGCTGTCTCCATGAAGATGTTAACTGTTTCCCTGGAATGTTTTTCTGTATTAAACAGGTTTATATATGGAGCTAGCAGTTTAATTATTGTTATTGCTCAAAAATACCTTAAAGAAGGAGAATTATGCAAAATTACTTTTTGGAGCCTTCAACCATGTAATGTAATTCCCTCATCAAAACCATGCCTGAAGAGGTTTAAGGTGCCATGCATGTATGTTTGTGTAATCTAGTGATCTCTCCAGGGCTCTATTTGAACCCACCTTGCTGTATGATCCTATAGCACAACCCACAAACCTACATCACCATGCTCCCATAGCCATTCACTTTAAAAGTGCTGCTTCATGATATCATAAGGTACAACAGAGCATTTTGAGCTTTGGAGATCTAGACAAATAATCCAGGATTACTCAAACATGTGTGAATGAAACAAAACACAACTCCTGGTCTGTTTTTGAGGAGGTACCAACATTCTAACATGGCCTAAAGCTCACAAGAGTCCATTTTGTGTAATAACAGCTGTTCTTCTCAGACAAGGTAATACATCATCTCTTACTTATCTATACTCAGAGGTGGGTAGAGTAGTCCAAAATTGTACTCACTAAGAGTAACATTACAGAAAAATAAAAATATTACTCAAGTAAGAGTAAAAAAAAGTTGAAATTTGGAAAAAGTAATACTCAAATAAGCATAAACTAAAGACCAACTGTCGGGACGTAACATCTGATTTATAATTTGATTTTACTGTCATTAGAAGGGCAAACATTAACTAATGGACAAATCTGGTATTTTCAAAGGAAATATTACTAGCAGGTCATACAGCTGCCAAAAAAATTGTAATATGCCAATGGAAATCAGTTCAACCTCTGACTGTGAGAAAATGGCTCCTATTGTTCGGAGAAATCATTCAATTGGAGCTTTCTGCTGCTCGAATGCATGGAGCAAAAACCAAAAACATTTCTTGCTGGTCCAATCTATTGATCAAACTGAGATCTGGATCTACTGTATAGTTGTTACCTGGAGATTTTTCATTATAATATATGATTTTAGAATGTACACAATATGTGTACAGTACTCTCAATTAACTTTCTCTGTACAGTACATAATAAGTATGTATAACACAATTTCTGCTGATGTCTTTTGCTGGAGGAAATTTGCCTATGTACAGTACAGAGAGAATATACACCTGGATATGTGTGTCTTTTTGTGTGTGTGTTTATACATGTATATGTATATATAACATATATACTATAATATGTGTATATAGGTGTGTGTGTTTATGTAGATGCTGTATATATGTATATGTGTGTGTTCTGTAAATGTATTTATGTGTATGTATGTGTGTGTACATATGTTTTCTGTTGATGCCCATCAATGGGGAGTTTAAGGGTGGGGGTGGGGGGTTTAAAAGGGAGAAAAATGCATTGTAAACTGGATTATGTATAACTGCAAATAATAACACTTGAATAAAATTTTGATCACAAAAAATATTGTCAACATAAAGATTTTGTCACTTTAACATACTCACAGTGGGAAGAGAAACCACAGCTTTTACTCAAGTAAGAGTTCTGTTACTTCAATACAAATATTACTGAAGTATGAGTAAAAATATGCTGCTAAAAAGGTATTCTGAAGTTTTTATTTATTTATTTATTTATTTTTATGTAAATTAAACTGAGTAAATATAACTGAATACTGTGCACCTCTGCTGTCCAAGGTCATGAATAGCACTACAACTGTTCCATTTGAATGTCATATACCAGCCATGTTCCATCACTAGTTTCATAACAAAATGTGCGTGCATGTGTTTTAATGTGTTGTTTTAAACATGTGTAACGTGGGCTTCTCACATCAAACAGGAATCCGAATCCAGTGTAGAAAGGCCTAACAGAAAAAAGCCTATGTTGCATAGAAAAGAGCAATGTCTTTAAAGTAAATGAACAACTATTTGTGTGTGTGGGGGGGGGGGTCTTCAACTGTTTCCCTGACTGTTGAAGACTCCTGCTCCCTCCTGTGGTCATGGTTAGAATGACACCCACCTGTTGTGTTGGCACAGCAGACACTCTGTGCTGTATGTGTGCCCGTCAGAGCCACACACCGGGTCATACTCTTTAGTGCAGCTCTCCGACTCCAGCCTGCTACATTGGGGCTGCAACAAGAGAGATAATTCAGCACAGACTCAACACTCAAGAGATACAAAACATTACTAAAACTGATATCAAAATTAGATACTCATTTGGGCAGGTAAACTAAAAAAGTCCAATTAACAGGACAAAAATTAACCTTTCTTGAACAGCTTTAGAATGATCTTGAACTGTATCAAAATAAGTACAGACCATGTTTAGACCAAAATTAGAATATCATTAAAAAAAGGACAAAAATATTTTTTGTCACTATTTTTAGGAAGTCAACCCCATAATCTTATATGACACATAGAAAGAAATATTTCAAGAGTTTATTTCTTTAAATGTTTTATGATTATGGCAGATAATTATTATATGATTATTACTCACATCCTTTTTCCCCTTTATTAATCATCACCAAATGAAGTTACACTGAGTAAGTGCCAAACACAGAAGAGAGATTTACACAAGCAATTTACAGATAACATTATTGACAGCAGGTATAGTATATAAAGAGAGGTGGACAACATAAGGGAAGCAAACATTTAATCCTTAATCATCATAGTTTTATCTGAGAAAAGAGTACAAAAAAGGTTCAGTTATGTGGGCATACACATTGCACTTGCTGTCCCTTGGTTCTGTGAGAGTTTTCCTCTTTTGTGTGTACATTTTGTACTGATGTGAGTTGACCCCTGTTTATTGAGGTTTGTCATTATTGTGTAGGTGCATTAAAAAGAAAGTTATATATGAGCTTGCAAGTTCTGATTATTGATGAAAATAAAAAATAAAAACTCCTTGTCCACCTTCACCACCAAGTCACCCCAACAAGAGCCATGAGTGTATTGCCCACAGATAATACATAATTGTGCTATAGCATAGGAAACTACAGGGCATGATTTTATGAAAGTATAACGGTCCGATGGAGCTAAGATTGAGATAACTCAAGATATTGAGCTACTTGGTTTTTGTTATGTTGTAATGAACATCAATATGGGAGACCATATAGAGTCAGAAGAGGGATTTTGAGAGGATTTGGCAAGATTTTCAAGTGAGATGTAATCTACAAGCAGGTTATTCCAGAGTGTAATGTTGATGCAGATTTTTTTTTAGCAATAGTTAAGGCAGTAGAAGGATTTTTGTGTTATTTTTATCTAAAGCAGGGTTTGTTTGTTTTTCCATGGGGCCACATGAGAAACAAAAAATATTGTGGAGGACCAATGCTTAACTCAGCTCTGCATAATATAACTGTATTTCTTAATAAAAAAAAAAATATATATATTAATTAACTAATTCATTCATTCATTAAAAAGCTGTAAATATCATTGTTTTGAGCTGGTCAGACTGGTAAGAGTTTATGTTATATATAACATAAACTCTATAAATAAGCAATAAAAAAGCTGCTAGGCTGCCTCACATAAAAAAATTAAATAAAATAAAAGCAATGCAGATTTAGTCCATACATGAGGTATAATTATAAAATATGTTAATTTTGTAATTCCAAATGATCTTAAACAGGCCGGTCAGCGTCAACCAAAGGGCCGTATGTGGCCCCGGAGCTGGACAGGTCTGATTTTTCTAGCAGCATACTTTTACTCCTACTCAAGTAATATTTTTTTCTTGAAGTCACACTACTTACTGATAAAAAATATAATATGAAATAATTTGTGTTTCTTGCAGCTCCTTCAGATATTATTTAGTTTGTCTCATTTTTGTGTCTGTCTTTTGAAAATACCACATTTTTGTGCATCATTTAATGTTCTTCAAATTACATTCACTTTAAATTGTAAATCACATCCTCTACCACCTCTGGTTTTTAGTTCACAGTAACAAATGGAACAAAGCAGAATGAGTGTTAAATTTGGTGGCAGTTTGCAATCTGTAACTGTAGAGGGTGCTGCAGACTTGAAAATGGAATCCACATGCTCTTTATTCTATAAGCAGAATAGGTTTTGTGTTACCTCACGTGGCTGAGCTAGTTTTCCTTCATCTCCATCTTTATGGACAAGTTCCTCCTCTGCTGCAAAAACTACATGGGAAAAAACAACAGTACATTTTAAAAGTTAAATTTTAGATCCTTGGGATGCCATTTGGTGTGACCCAGAGTAATCAGTCAATTTACTCAGTTACATTTATTTGAGTAACTTTTTGAGGCCATCCTTCAAATTACATTAAAGTAGGGGTATTATGTGAAATGGATTTCTCTTGTAACGTTCCCCCAATAAAAAAAAAAAAACAGGTGTAAAGAGGTTGTGTATGTCATCCATGCGTGTTTGAGTCATTTTGTGATCTCTTTTGCGGTCCCTATTCGAACCCTCCACTCGGTTAGTTGTAACATTCTGTGCAATGCTCTGCCCACAAGTCTACGCTCCCATACGACATGCTCTGAAGGGGAAGTGAATGAGCACACAGAGCAATGGACGGGGGACTTTTAAAACAAGCCAAAATGTTGTTTTCAACTAATATAGCATTTTCAAAAGAATAAAATGTTAAATGGTGATCTAAATATGTTATTCATTAGCAGTTAATGCCCTATAGAAGTAAAATACCTCCTCTTTAACTTCAAATTTCAAATCAGGTGTTACACTTAGCCCTTACTCAGTCAGTGCTCAGTCAGCAGATGGATTACTAATAGCCTTATGTTACTGTAATTCAGTAGATTTTTTGGGGCAATTTTAATTGTTTATAATTGGTTGTACAGTACAGTACAGTTTTTTATACTCTTTCATTACAGAATGGCTTAAAGCTTTCAAGAAGCAATTTTCTGTAATAGGGGACCTTTAATAAATAACTGCATTTAAAACATTCAACATCATTGTTTGTGTAATCTTAGAGTCAGCTAAATAAATATTATTTAAAAGGCCCATATTACACTATTTTCTGATCTGTTCTAATATACTTTCCTCATCACAAACATACCTGGAGTTTCATTAACACATAAGTCTTGCATATTTTGTCCCTCAAACTGAAAACACTAATTTCCACTGTGTTATGCCATGTGGTAATACAGGAAGTGCTCCACTGTGGTTATAAAATTAATGATTTTACCTTTTGGAGGTTTCATGGCAATGTACAATGTAATCAACAGCAAAAACTGTCTCTTGCCCCAGTCATCACATTCTCGAATCTGAAAACTACCCTTTCAAAAGTGATGCCATTAATCACGCCCAATGATGTGATTGAGGTTAGTTTAAGTTAATGTGGTGTGTTTGTGAGCAGTAAATGAGTGGACGTACCAGTGAGGAGCAGGGCAGAACACAGCAGAGCCGTCAACTTCATCGTGAGGAATGGATGTGTCTACAGAGTGTGAGCAGGTGCAGCTTTCTCAGGCTATATGCTGATGTCAAGGTTAGACAGGTTTACACAGCTTGTGCTCTGCAGCTTGTACACAAATATAGGTGCATCCCTTAAAGTAACGATCACAAATGGACTGAAGAATATTTTATGCACCTTGCTACAAATATCGGTTATTGGCCACAGAAGCTCTAACAAATCCATATCATCCCATTGTAATCTGGATAAATATTTTTACTTAACATTTTACTCCACTCTTCCAGTCTCCTGCCGACTTTTCCATTTGTTCCCAGGTTACTCATACAGAAGTCAAAACTTATCGGTTCCAGGCAAAATTGACTCTTGTCATCCTAAGCCATGTTATAATGCTCAAAAACATATATGGAGTTGTGTTTTGTTTCATTCACATATGTTGGAGTAATCCTGCATTATTAGTTTGTCTACATTTCCAAAGCTCAAAATGCTCTGTTCCACCTTGTGATGTCACGAAGTTGCTACTTTTTACCTTTTCTTCAGAAGAAATTTGCAATTCCAGGGTTGAAATTATTCAAATGATTCTAGTGAATGTGTATGGAGTTTAAAAACACAGTAGAGCACTTCCTGTATTATCACATTACCACCAGTTTTCTGTTTGAGAGAAGAACTTAGCCTAAATATATGCAGGATCATTATGTTAAACATCTCTGAATGACCAAAAAACAACTCCAGGTGTGTTTCTGATGATGAAAAACACAGCATTTAATAAATTTAGAATTTTACAAAGGTAATTCCATAACTGTTATTTAGCAACCATACTGTAAATAAAAGCCAACACTAGTCTTGTCTACATTGCACAATAACCCTATGGTTAGACTAATAAAAATAAATGACAACGCCTTTATTTTAATAGTTGAAGCACTTACTTGATATTTATCACAGATACCATTCCACCAAATAAGAGTAAAAATTAGAAAAAAAAAAGATGAAAACCTGTCATATGCACTATGATGGTGTGTTTGAGGGAGAGGCTACAAGCATTCATGGCCCTGTTTAGGTGTATGGTTTTCAACAAAAGTAAGAGACAAATTGAAAAACTGTTGCCTAATCCTAGCTATCTTGGGACTATAAAATTACTTGAGAGGGACTTGTTTAATAGCTCATCAGCTCATCTGCTGTAGTTTCAACTAAGTCGGTTCTTTATAGTAAGATAATGTTCTTAATATTCAGCATTTAGTTAAGGGGGACATTCACATACAAGTCAGATCCAAACTTCCATTTTCCAGCTCTGTCCTCAGTCCTGATTAAGAGTTTCAGAGACTGAGTTTCTATATTAAAAGTGACAAAGTTTGGACCTAAGTCCTTAACAATATATGAATTCTGGCAGTGAAAAGATAAAGACAGTTCATTGATAATATGTGTTTGTGTCGAGTGTTCTGAGAAAGAGCCTGAGAACTATGTGAAATTATGAGAAATATTCCAACTAATATGACCACCTGAACCTGAATTCTTATTTTTTGTAAGCATATCAGGTGATATGTATTTGTCAAACAACTTAGGATGTGACCTAAGCAACTTCTTTTCCTCAGGGAAAATGGGCCAAAAAAGAGATTTAACTGACTCTGAGAAGTCAAATTATTTTAAAAGTCTGCAGCACTCTTGAAATTGCCAAGATATAGGGGTGTGATCACAGAACCATCAAATGTTTTGTTGCAAGAAACATGAGGAAAAAAATATGCAAATTAACTGCAAGAGATTTGAGAAGAATCAAAAATGAAGCTATCAAGAACCCATTATCCTCCAGTGCTGTCATAATCCAGAACTGCAACCTACCTGGAGTGCCCAGAATACTTCTGGGTGTTCAGTGCTCAGAGACATGGTCAAGGTGAGGAAGACTGAAACCGACCCCTATTGAACAAGAAACTTGTTCAATAGGGGTCTGGTCGGCTGAAACGTCAAGACTGAGCCAAGGCATATTTTTCAAAGGTTTTATGGACTGATGAGATGAGAGAGAGAGAGACTCTTGACGGATCAGATGGATGGGTCCGTGGCTGGATCAGTAATGGAGACAGAGCTCCACTTCGACTCAGACGCCAGCACGGTGGAGGTGGGGTACTTTTCGGTTTGAAGATTGACTCAAAATGAACTCCAAAACCTACTGTCAGTTTTTAGAAGACACTTTCTTTAAGCAGCGGTACAAGAAAAAGTCTGCATCTTTCAAGAGGAGTGTGATTTTTATGCAGGACAATGCCCCATCACATGCATTGAAGTACTCTACTGCGTAAACCTTAAAGATGAAAAAATAGCGACCTGGCCTCTTTCCTCACCCAACCTAAACCCTATTGAGAACTTGAGAACCTTTCTTAAATGGGAGATTTACAGTGAAGGAAAACAGTACACCTCTGAGAACAGTGTCTGGGAGGCTGTGGTTGCTGCTGCATAAAAAGTTGATCAAGTCAACAGATCAAGAAACTGACAGACTAAATGATTGGCAGGCTTATGACCTTAATCATCAGTGGTCACTGATTTTTTTTTTTTTGGTCAGAAATGATTATTTGTAAATTTAGAGTTCTTTACTATTCTGAATAATTAAAATAAACAAGTCAGAATGGAAAATGTTAATTTTTCATTTAGTTGTGTAATAATTCTGCATATTAACAGCTGTCCAATAATTATGCACACACAGATTTTGTCCCTGTTCTGCTCCAGTCATTTGTTCCACACACCGTACGTCTGTATAATACATATCACTATAAATGATAAATTACTACTGTTGTTATTATTATTACAGCCCAATGACCATGGGCACTACTGATACCTTCCAGGCCTTCTCTACCTCTTCTTTGAGCCCCTGGTCTTTCTCTAGTTTCCCGCATTCCTTTTTCCTATAATGTTCTGTTATTTATTCATCACTATGTCTGGTTGGTTTGCCATTTATAATGATAGACATAAACATCTGAAAGAGCGGTCAAGTCAGACTTACTCAAAATGGGAAGAGTAACCACAACGTTTACTCAAATAGGACTAGGCCTACTGTAACGCTACTATAATAATAAAAAAAATAAAAAAAACTCAAGTAGGAGTAAAAGTGCTAGAAAAGTACTCTGAAAAATACAATTTATGTAAAAAGTTACTCAAGTATAAGAGCAGCCTACCCATCTCTACACACCAGTGTGTTTCAGTACTACATGGCTTAGACCAGACCTGGGCATTGTCCAGCTCCAGAGCCACATACTCTGACTGACATGGTTGACTCTGACTGGCCCCTTTAAGATAATTTGGAATTACAAAATAAACATTTTATAATTTTATCTCACGCATGGTCTAAAGCTGCATTGCTTTTATTATTTTGTTTAAATGACATTTTTTGTAAGATTGTCTCACTTTTTCATTGCTTAGTCATAACATATACCAGCTTGAGAAAACAATTATATTTACTGCTTTTTTATATAAAGAAATACAATTAATATTACGCAGAATTGAGTTAAGCATTTAGGCCAGGTGTCCTGCAATATTTTCTCATGTGGCCCATGGAAAAAAGAATTGCCCAGCCCTTAAACGCACAGTATACTAATAGTGGATGAAGTGCAGTACACTAGCGTAGCTTACAACCGTCTGCACGAGTGAATCAAGTATTTCTTCATTTCGATCCTACTATGTGCTGGCTGGCTGCCTCCGCCTGGGTCGGCTCCACCTGAGGGGCAGGACGGTGGACGGGGCTGGGACTCTGGAGGCCCGTGTCCCCGTGACGTGTCTCTGTGATCGCGTCCTACGGAAACCAACGAGAGAGAGGGGCAGAGAAGACAAGATGGCGGAGTGAATGGGTTGCGCCGTACTTTTTGCAGCGACCCTTTACTTCACTACGTAGGATCGAAGGAAGAAATCACAAAAATCGGATACATCATCGGAGAGGACGAAAACGGGCGCGGAGAAGGGGCATATTTTTGTAGTCTGGTCCGATCGACAGCGTTAGCTCAATGCTAACACCAGCTAGCACTACTCCGATTAGCCGCTGCTACTCCGAGCTGGTTTTGGGTGGTTTCAGAGGGCCTCTGCTTGGGACGACCCGGAGCTTGGCTTATTTATTATAAAACGTAGGTAACTGGTTAATATGTACCGCAACAATAATAAGTAACGAAACCACATACGCGATTGTTGATCAGCCTTGGTTCTTCGTTGGCCCTAAGTGTTCGTGTGTCACCAGGTCTGGAGTTTCGGGGAAGCAGCTGGCTCCATACGTTCTATGTTTGACCGACACTTGAGATCGCTTGGGAAACATTTTCTATCGTGAAATCGGTGGAGATTGACACTATCAGGGGACATTATGGCGAGTAGCAGTGGTTCTAAAGCCGAGTTCATCGTCGGTGGTAAATACAAGCTTGTAAGGAAAATCGGATCGGGATCTTTCGGTGATATATATCTGGCCATCAACATCACAAATGGAGAGGTAAAGTATTATTGTGCTCTTATTATTTCTACTCCAGTATTGTCTAACTCAGGATGCCGTTTATGTAAACCCACATTTCTCTTATCATTTCTTTTCACAGGAGGTAGCAGTAAAATTGGAATCACAGAAAGCCAGGCATCCACAGTTGCTATATGAAAGCAAACTGTACAAAATCTTACAAGGAGGTGTTGGGATCCCACATATAAGGTAAACTGAAACTGCAGACTTGAGTAGGCAAACGTTTGGACCTGTTCTGGTCAAATCAATCCATGCTAATAATTGTGCTACAGCCTACCAGGCTACAGCTTCTGGCCTAAGGCCTAATCAGGCCGAGCTGTGCCGTGTTTGCACGACGTCGTCATGTCTCACACATAATGTCCTTTTTGTGTACGTTCTGAAATCGTAACACAATGCCTTTTGAAATATTTGTCAAGATATACAAACGTGTTAACAAGTGCGAATGGTGTAGTTAAGAAAAGGCGACTGCGGCTTGGAAATGGCCGCTCGTCTTTTGTTTGTGTTAGCTCCCAATATGTCTTCCTCTAGTGCTGTAAAATGGCGGCGAGGCTCAGTGGTAAAAACAACCTCCGAGAGACATGGTGCAACTTTCCATACAGCTCCTGACTGATCTAAGCTGATACTCTGACGAGACACGCTATTTGTTTATGAAAGCTGGGCATTTATATCTCGAAAATAGCAAAGCTTGATGCCCGTTGTTTTTCTTCACTTCCTCCTTTTATTGCGAGGGTGGATCTGTTTTCATTGGGCTACAGCGCAGTCAGATTGTGCTACAAGTTTGTTGTTTTGACTCTATATGTGGTGTTTTACAACAAAGCACGAAAGTTAAACATACCTTTTTGAATGAGAATAAATGGCCGAGTTTCATTGAAATGAGCACCATATATGTCACACAGCCGGAAACGTAATTGATGCTGTCATAAGTCAATAAATTAATAATTGATCATTTGCCTAGTGACAATACACCACCGCTTGATCCCTAAAACCTCCTAAAATGGCCTACGTTGACATGCAGTACAAATGTGCATTAAAAACATGTGTGAACAAGTTCCCCAGAGTAACCAGAGCAGATCAGGGGGCCGTGTTCAGATCTCACCAGAGCCTTTGTCAGGATTACCATTCTGAAGGATTATCTTGTACTGCGCTTGTTTTGTATTAGGTGGGTTGTATGCTGTTCAATGTTTGCAAGCTGCAAAAAATAGTAGTTGTTGGTGGCAAGCCCTGATATTGAGTTAGTCCTTATTTGTGCCATATCACAGCTTTCCTCCACAAGACACCCAAGATCATGTCTCAATGTCCTGAGATGATGTAGGCTTTGAGAAATCTAGGATTCTGTATACAAGGTCCTGTTTATTTTGTAGCCTCTTTGGTTTTACTATTCCCAAGATTGTGGCGTCAATGGTAGAAATACAGAGGTGTCTCGTTTGTCAATAAATGTTCAGAATGAGTCAAGTGATTGTTTTTACCCTCAGATTGGGTTAATTACAACTGTATGCTTACCTGATGTAGATTCATAGATTTGATAGCTAAAGACAGAGAGAGAACCATACATAGATTTCAATAGAAGTTACATTTGCACTATCAGCCTTTATTGAATACACTTCTTAATTTAACCAAACCTAATAGTAGGCAGGTCTGGTAGGAATGGAACAATAACCAAAATATTGTGCTATTTTATTGTCAAAAGTCTGTCACAATTATCACAATTAAATATAGAGAACTACATGTACCATAATCCACTTCCATGCAGACAAAATGAAGAACTATATAATTTTTTTTTTTTTTTTATCTTAATTCTTGTCATGATGACAGTAATAATTTGCACTGATGTCTGTAACCTGGCTACAATTTTGTTAGCCTCTCAAATATTGCATATCATACTGTGAGATGTATATCGTGATAAAATTGTACTGTGAGAGTTGGACATCTTTACATCTCTAGACTGTGGCTAGGCTCTCCTGACTACATGATCACAATAAAGCAAATGAAGGTTTTATCTATGACCCTCTGCTGACGAGCATGCACGTGTCTCAATGCATGGATATCAAATATGTTTATTCATAGGGAACCATCCGAAAGGTCGTGCTTTACTACTTTCACCTAAGGCTGGACGATTAATTGAATTTTGATCGTGATTTCGATTTGTGTGTCAAACAACCTCCAAACTCATATAATTGAGTAGAAGCTTAACAAAGTGTATTTTAGAATATTTTTATATAAGTATATTAATTGTATTTTTTTAAATGTAGAGATTTTATTTTGGAAACATTTCTGTTTTTCTATGCCTTATTTCATGTTCAAAGTATATTTTATTCATTTTATTTTTTATACATTGCAAAACTGCCCTAAAGTACATATTTGCAGCTTATATTTGTTTTCAATTTGAACATTTGCCTAAATTATCAATAACGTGTTTTTGAGAGAAAAATGCTGAATGAATGCATTGTGTAACTAAAAATAATTGTGATAATGATTTTTTTCCCCATAATCGAGCAGCCCTACTTTCACTGCTGTCCTGTGTGTAACTCCATAGTGACAGCAGTGCCACAGCACCATCATTCAGATGGATGCATGTAACATTTTTGCCGTGTGTTGTGCCCTCCACTCAAACCACCACGTACGTGGGACATGAAAACATCCAAAGCATGTCCCCTTCCCAGTGATTACTTAGCACAGCTATTTGAGCTGCATTGAATATGTTAGTCTGTTCACCCGACTGACAGGGCACTCGTTAATGTGGCTGGGTATCAATAAGAAGTTGCCGATACATGCCTTGATGCATAGGCCATGATACGACAAATATCTTGATACAGCTACTAAAAGTCTTTATTAAACCACTATATCAATACACCATAGCAATACTTTATCATCGACTTAAACTAGATAATATATCAATATTTCAATATTTATACCACTACTTGCTTAGCGCTTTTTCTTTCTCTCTAGTTCCTTTCTGTCTAGCTCCTTTATTTTCCCATCTTATCCATATATTTACATTGGCATTTTGGATTTTTGGATGGAAGTTTTGGATTGGGAAAACCTATTTGTGTATTTGAATACCAATAGAGTTGGTGATGTAAATTTGTTGGAATGATAAATGAATTGTCTACATGTAGATTTTGAAGTAGCATTTAACCATGATGCCTGTTATTCATTCAGCGGGAGCACTTGAATGTGTGTCTTATTTGCCTGAGCTCTGTAAATGGCCTCTGTTTAGAACTGAAAAGATTTCCCTCCTCAGCTACATGTTGGAGCAGGGACAAGAAGCTAAACACGTCAAGCTGCAGCCAGTTTCTGCTCCCCACTGAGACTTGGCTGCATAGTGCCAGTGATACTGCATGTGTGTGTTACTGTCTGTGCTCTCCTCCTGTCTGAGCCTGTCCAACCTGCTCTTCCTGTTGCCACACCTCTCTTCAGTGCCTTCAGGGTTGTTCCGGCTTGCTCCTGCTGACTCAACCTGACACAGTGTTCAAGCACAACCAGAATGATTGGTGTAGCTAGTTTCAAGTAAAAGGGATCAACTCTAAATAACTCTTAAAATTTCAAACTCTTTTTCAGTACTATACTCTATTGTCATTGTGGCATCAGAGTCAATGTAAACACTTGTTTACAAAATAGAAGTGACTCTCAACTTTAAATCATAGTACTTTCTTTTATATTACCATGTGGCCTTGTATCTGTGTAATCCTTTTGTGGTCTAGGTAGGTTTCATAGTGGTCCGTGGGCATATACCAGTATGTGCTTTTCTGATACAGCTTCAGACCATTCTAAAGACATTCAGGAAAGGTACATTTTTGTCTTGTGAAAATGGCTTTTTCGATACCAGTACTTCAATGATACCTGTTTTTTTGATACCAGTTCCTGAACAATTCTTTTTTGAGTGCCTATATTTTTTATGTAAATTATAATGGCCTATATTATTAAGAAAATACATTTCAGTCCTTTGAACTACTTCGTGTAAATTCATATTTTAAAACATAGTGAGCTACCATACGATGTTCAGTTATATTCCAAAATATAGCCACAATTGGCAAAGATCGTGCCCCACAAAATGCTGTGCCCTGCAAACACCGCGCCCCACACTAATCCCAACTATGACTCTAACCCCTAGCCCCAACCCTAACAGGATGGCATTGGTGTCATAGTATTTTTTCCTTGTCTTGTCGTGATCTACTTTTGTGTCAGTTTTCATGATTGTTTTTTTGCCCTAATTCCGCCCAATAGGAGCATTGCTCTGCGATACTAATAGGCCTTTCGCCAGCTTCGGGCTTAACACATGCGCGTGCAAATGAAACAGAGCGCATAGTTGATTCTTATTTGGAGTCATGTGCGCTTCAGTTTATATCAAAAACAACTGCACGGAGCACGTTGTGTTTGTTTTGATAAATAACTACACATCTACAGCATGGTTACCTGAAAGGAGGAGGAGGATTATGGAGAACTTTACAAAGACTCTTTCGGCTGCATCTTTACGCACATGCTGTCCAAAATGGATATTTACCGGGACCTAGGAAAAGGGGGAATTTGGTGGAGTTTTGGTTCATATTATCTGTTTGGCTTCAACTTATCACGTTTGGCTGCATCTGTACGCAGACGCACGCTCCACACTGGATATTACCCTACTTAATTGGGAATTACGCGTTTACCGGGACTGAGTAGAATATTGGAGGAGTTTGGCTTCAACTTAACAAGCACACTGCAGACTGTGCCTAGTTGTGGATTTATTATTACGCACTTTGACTTTGAGACACTGTAAAAGCCGACACTTTAGACTTGATGTGTTTTCGAGTGGATATAAGTTTCACGCTGCTCTTGTGTTTTACCGGCAAGATGATACACTGCACTTTGTTTGAACATGTAATGTGTTAAATGTGCTGTTTGTACCATCATTTGTTCAGGGAGCAGTCGTGATGCATGAGCACTTGTGCTGCTGTTGAATCTTAGCAGTATATTTATTGTCTTTTTGACACGGGCATTCAAAGCCAAGGAACTGAAAGGTGGCTCTGAATGTTTTTGGTACCAGTACTAACTGGACCTTTTCGTTCAGTTCCTACTCGGAACAGAGTTTTGGTATCAATACCTGCTCAAATGAGTATTTACTTTCTATACTAGTTTTAGTATTGATTAGTATTTAATTTTCTAGACATTTGACAACCCTAGTGACCGCACAAACACTAACATCTTATTGTTTGATGAGTTTAGTGGAATGTTGATATGTGGTCAATCAAGGCAAAGGCACAATGAATAATTGTGATAGATGTCACAGTATGATTGATCTTTTAAGTAATTGTGATATTTCAGATTAGTGGTTTGCAAAAATATTGAAATTTTGTTTTATATAATTTAATTTCATGGTGCAGTAACGATATTCAAATGTCTCTGTATGATACTTTCATGATGTGCATCAATACGGTGTTATATTTGTTGCAATAGTCTGTGAAGTGCTAACAAAATAGTGAATATGCTACTTGTCCTTTTAAAATGCCTTGACAATCTTAAAAGATTTAAAAGTGCTTAACAGCATTTTTTTCCTGTAGTCTGTGCTGAAACAGAACAAAGGATCATGGTTTATTTAGATCTGGTTTCTGTAGCTATTGCTACACCAAAACTGTTAAAGCAATGAAACTTATAATTTCGATATATATTATGACAGTCCATCTTATTATTTTGAGACTTTTGACGATACAATATGATAGTTTTAGTATCACAGCCATGATTTAGATTTAGATTTATTTTATACTGAATTGCATAGAAATTATTTGAAATGTCATTGTATTGAATTGTAACAAATTCAAAGTGCACTGTATCAAGATTCATATTGTGGCCTATGTATCAAGGTATGTATTGTTTCAGCAATGTTTTATTGGTACCCAGCCTTGTTTACAAGTTAAAAGTGTGCTTTTAAAACATGTAGCTACTACTAAAGTGTTAAATTGTACTGTTTGTTATTGTGTAAGTGGCTTAAACATGCCTTCAATTGTATATATTTTTTCACTATTTGTGCCTCCCAGAAGGGAGGCGGCACAAATAACACAGGTCCACTCACCCAGCCTTACTCAGTTCTGCTTAGCTCATCTCTGCAGCTTTAGGAAGAGCAAAAACGACAGGGGAGGTGAAGTCCACCTGCTTGATCTGAAGTGATTGAAGGGAAAAGCCTGTGTTCACGGTGGTTTATTCTAACTTTTTAATTTGTATCAATTATTTCTTGGATACAATATGTCTTACATTTGTGTTTATGCTTTCTGAGCTTGCAAAGCCTTTGAATATGCGGCTCTGTTGTCTGTTCTATTCATTGTTGGTAAGCTACTTCAGTAACCACTGCATTTAGTTAAAAGTACACGTAGTAGTATTGGCACATGATTGCCTTCACTCATCTGCATAGTACTCTGTAGCCCAGTTAAACATTCTGTGATAGAATTCAACTGCACAAATCATTATGTTACATAATAGGCTATTATATTTGCTTTGAAAACCATGTTAGCTAGATTCAAGAGTCCCATTAGCCTCATGTTGAAGATGTTGTCTGTATCTGCTAAAATGAACAGTGATGCTGTGTTGCGGTCAAATGGAGCAGCTTTGATAGTCTGAATGGTTTTAAAATGGCTGAGAGTTTTCGGTTGTGTAATCCATAATGGGGTAGTTCCACATTTGATAATAACTAACATGTAGAATTTTTCATAACACAAGTTTTGTATTTCTGTTTCCATTAAGTAACAACATGTGTATGTTTGTCTCTCCAGGTGGTATGGACAGGAGAAGGACTACAATGTTCTAGTTATGGACCTACTGGGACCCAGTCTTGAGGACCTTTTCAACTTCTGCTCTCGACGCTTTACCATGAAGACAGTGCTTATGCTGGCAGATCAGGTAATTTATTGAGCGCAAATTTATCAAATAAATGTATTATATTTCAAATGATAATTTTGGTTTATCATAATCAACCTGAATGGAATTGAGCTTCAAATAGTGCTGTGTTCTACACACTGGCATGTGAGAAGATTAATCCCATGTTTTCCTGTGTTCAGATGATCAGCAGAATCGAGTATGTGCATACAAAAAACTTCATCCACAGAGATATCAAACCAGACAACTTTCTTATGGGCATCGGCCGTCACTGTAACAAGGTGAGTGTCACACTGTATTTGGAAAAATGCAACCAACCACTAAAGACGTGTACTGCGATCTAGCTAGGGATGAGGCCATACTCTGAAATAAGGTATACTGCCACTGTATAAAGCCACCATATGGCTTTGGTTAAGCAGTGCTTTAGCATACCATAGTATTCATGAATATGTATACATTTTACCACAATTAATGTTGCATCACAAATAAAGCAAAAAACCGGGAAGGACCTTCTCAAAAGACCTTCTCAAGCCACATGCCTATCCTAAATATACATACTATATCACTGTAGGCTACCTGTCTTGCCCTAATTTGAACAAATCTGTGCATGTCATAACGGAGATATAACATGAGATACAACCACTTAAAAAAAACAAACAAACCTTAAAATAATCCTAATATTGATTGAGTTGCCTATTTCTTTACAAACACATAAGATTCATTCTAATAAAAATGCTGAACTTGAATGCTTTTGTTTGGACTTGAAAAAGAGTAGGAACAGAATAGAAATTGTAAATGACTAAACAGTGTCTTGAACCTGGGCTACTCGCACCACATCTTACAAGACTGAAGCTCAACTCCTCAATGAAACTCCTTGACTTGGTTGTTTAAATAATCGTCCTGCAAGTAATTTGTGAATAGTGTCTCAAGACTGGTCCTATAATGAAGAACATCTTCTTATGACTTACTACTTAACTTGTATTAAAGGCTCATGTAAACGGCTGTATATGATTTGACAATTTGGTTTCAATTTCTAGTCCATAATTCTGAAGTGGATGTGCAGCCACAGATGTGCCCCGGTAGAGGCAGAGCGTGAGGGGCTAGCCTTACCTCGGTTCTGTTCAAACGCCATTTAATGTCAGATTAACTCACTTAAACGTGCTCTATCGTGAACAAGAGTCTTGGTCCTGACCATAAGAAGAGAAAGCACTTGAAAAAAAGAGGAGAAATTAATGGGATAGTAAGGCTACTTTTAATCATCTATGCTCTTTGGTTTGCTTTGCTTTGCCATGTTCTAACTTCAGCCACAACTTTTGAAAGATAAAAAGCCTAAGCCCCTTTTTATTGTAAATAGGCTAGTAAGGCTAGGCTAGTATTGTTTAGCTTTGGATAGATTTTAGATTTTTTAAATTTATATTTGTTTATAATTTCTGACTGACAAATATATATTTATGTTTATTCATGGCAATATGGCATGAATTGTGACAGTAATTGAGCAGACCTATTACTTTAGTGAATTTTAATTATTAAAAAACACTCGTAAGAGCTTTTAACTATGCTATGATTTCCCATTAACTCAAAGTTGTACTTTGAGTGGTCAGTGCATATTGTTGTTTTTGAGGCGATTTTGATCTAGAGCATTTTATATGTCTTCTAAATGTATAGAAAAAAACGCAAGGTAACACTTTAAAATAGTTATCGTGATGAAAGACCAAATTCATTCTCAGAAACTACCTTGTGTTATGTTAAAGAGGGGTGTAGTTGGAATGGAATAGCTAGACAGTACAATAACATGCATTGAGCATAGACAGTATATGTAAATGGACATAACTAGCCGCTGCATTCCAAATAGGAAATATTTTTATAGATTGAACGTAATTATGTTCTAATTTTAAATTCTCTTTTAAAATATACTTTTATTGTCTGTCCTGTTCTAACTGCACAAATGTGCTCTGAATTTTACATGGACTAACACGCACACAGCACCACCTTATTTCCCATTCCCGCTGCACAGCACATGCTTTTGCTTGTGTAGTGACTTCTCTGCTCACCTGGGCGGAGGAGGATTATTGCCAAGATTTGATCATATTTTCCATTTGGCTGCACACTGGGTATAATGAATGACACTGAATGCACTTGGGGATTCCGCGTTTACCTGGAGTGAAAAGGGATGCACTGATGGTGCTTTTTCCAGTATGAGTACAAGTACTTCATTTTGAATACTCGTTGTTAACGAGTACTGATACCAGAGATGATTTTTACAGACAAAATAATTAACTACCATGAATGTTTTTTTGAGTTGACGTGCGCAGCCCTAATAAATAGTCATGGAAATAATGAAAATCCATTGTGAATAAAAAAGTGTGTCCAGTGGGGTAGTGCAAAGTGCAGCTCTGGACACTGGACACTGGTCACTGCGTATTTACGCTGTGCTTTGGTTGAGCACATGTGGGCCTGTGTTAAAACGGGAGTGCTGCTTGTGCAGTGCACAGTGCTGACACTGTGCTGCCGTTTTGTCTCTGCTGTGTTTTTTTTTTTTTTTTGCTCATTGATGAAGATATTAAAAGTCACGGTAACAAAGGTGCAAAATACATAATTAACCAACAAGCCCGGTGTCTTTATCATTTTAAACCACAGGGCAATGTGTGAAATAGTGACAATAAAGAGTGCTGGAGATTTCATTGTGAATCATAATGCACAAATACAAATCGATGAAGCAAATTTCTTTCCTCTTGTGAGAAGCTCAGCAGCACAATCTTAAAACATACAGAAGTCTGACCAACCACTCCCCTCTACATTCTGTTCAAATTCTGGAACCATTCACATTTTAAATGAGCCAACTAGGGCCCAACCAATATGGATTTTTTTGGGGGGGTCCGGTATGATACCGATAAACGGCTTTGGAGGTGCCAATAGCCGATATATTTAGTGACAAAAACATTTACTGTAAATCTTCAACTGATTATAAAACTTAGGTTTGGTTTTATTGGATTTTAAATTTAGTTTATTTAGGCAACATTTACTGTTATTTTGCCTCTTTATGGTCCAACATTAGCCTTTAGTGGCTATTGTAAATACGTGCACGCCACAGTAATTAATTATATGCGTAAATGTGGACCATTCACACCTGTATTCACAGCTCATTTACATAGCACTGCATATCCAGTAATGTGTACAGACACTGTAGTCACTTTACACTAGGCCAATGCAAGAAACAACTAGCTCACAGCAGCTAAGCTCTAACCAATGAGAACGAAAAGTAGCTCCAAAACCAACACATTTGCAACTCCACATACAGGCACCTCTCAGATCACAGTTCTTCACAAATAAGTGTCCTTTTAATCCTGACTCAAATCAATCATTTATGTAGATTTTCTTTTCTGTGTGTAAGCAGCCGTGTTTGTTTTTGACACGAATGGAGCATGCGTCTCACTGATTGGTTAATCCGCCTGTCAATCACGTCCTCTGAAATCGTCTTGTCAAGTTTTGTCAAAGTGTGTGGTTCTGGCTGGCCAGGTAACAAAAGAGCGCATACAGACAGCCAAGAAGTACTGTACTAGTGTTTTAAAACAATGTAATGATATTAACGGCTCTCTCTGCTGATTGGCTTTCTATTCAAGACATCAAAAGCACTGTTTGATACTCTACTGTGTTGTGCCCATGTTTGCAAATCAGTTTAACTATTGAAAAACACCTGAACATGTGTAAGGTGTGAAGGGGAATACAGATTTTTACTGAACTTTAAGAAAATGTCTTTCAATTTAAATACATTTTCTCTCAGAGTTTAAAATGACAATGATAAGGTGGGTATTTTAAAGTTTTCTGATACTTAATTTTTGCAAAAGTGAAAAACTGTCCCAACTGAAATAATCGTGTAATTTTGAAAGTACTATATTGACATGGCAACACACACACGTTAACTACAGAACCCCTGTCCACTCATGTCCACAAGTATCTTGAAGGCAGGTCACATGGCTTAATCTTTCTTTGACTTGATGTATATCCACATACCATGTAGAGACAGCCTCTGCCTTGTCTTTTAGGGATTCTTAACTAGTGTTTGGTAGCTTTAAGGGACAGATGGAACCTGAGAAGTCTAGCTACCTTCTGTGCACTTAGCCGCATCATCTATCCACACCCTCTGTAGATTCTCTCCTCGACTCCAATCACAGTGATGCCGCAAACAGTTGCTTTAGTGGTGCAGAGTGTGGGTAGACAGCCTGGGTCCTAGTACGTGTGCATGTACATGTGCGCACGTACGTACACTTGTACGTACGTGTACAGGTACAGCTGGACTCAGTGACTGGGTGTGAGCTGAGGCTGCTGTTTGACCCCTGCCCCTCTACTGTCTGTCTAGTGTTTAGACTCGTCAGTGGGGAAGAGGAAAAGAAGCGTGGCTGTTAGCTCTTCTCAGGAGCCATCTTTCTCAGGATTAAACCAGGTGTGACCTTTACCACCACACCAGCTGCCTCTTTGCAGCTGTCGCTTTGCAATCATACCTAACACACTGGCCCTGTGACCATTCTGCTCTGAAAACACTACGCTTATACAGGACAGCTCCTGTCGCCCATGTGATGTTTGGCCTGAGATGAGTCCAGTTCTAGCATTCTTGCAGACTATTGTATAATATGTGTCCGCATGTGGTTAGTGTGATTAAGCTATATTAGGGCTTATGGCAGGGACTAAAGTAGCAACAAGTTGTATGGGTTTACACACAACTGCACTTGAAACATTCTCTAAATCACTTCTTCCATAAATACCATTTAATTAATAATAAGGTGAAATTGAATGATAAGAGACTGTTCTCAGGCAAATGTCTCCACTGTCACATGCTTTCAGAAAATGGCTGCTGCTTTCTGTGCTTGTGCTCTCAGTCATCGACTTTAATTTGCGGCTTAAGTCGTAGCATACTAACTGAGCTGTGCCTTTGACTTTGTGGTGCATAACGACTCTGGCCCGTCTGTCCACTCAGTGCTGGTATGGTCACATTTGGTTGTTAAAGCTGGAGTCTGTTGTTGGGCTCCATCTTTAATGATGTCACTAGATTGATGTAAATAAAGCGACACACAGTGTCAGTTCATAGCCCAGCTTGTGTATGCGGCCGTTTAGAGCTTGTGTATAAAGCTGTTCATGTTGGTCTGGTAGGGACAGTCCTAACTAAGCCGTGTGCCAGGTTAGCTCTCAGGGCTCACTTTACATCTGTGACATGCACTCGAAGGTATTCCACCCCACAACAGCCTCCTACTACCTCCTAACTATATGCCACGCTAACACAGGTAGATTTTGGCAGTGTTAGAAAAGTGTTAGAAAAGTGCAAATGCTAACATGAACATGAACTTAATGATTCAGTTTAACAAATGGTAACTGTTTGGCAGATGTTCACAGGCACACACTCAAACTCTTTCTGCTCTGTTCCCTCAGTTATTCCTTATCGACTTTGGCTTGGCAAAGAAGTACAGAGACAACCGGACGCGGCAGCACATCCCGTACAGAGAAGACAAGAATCTGACCGGCACGGCTCGTTACGCCTCCATCAACGCACACCTGGGCATCGAGCAGAGGTCCGCACATTTGAACTTGTGCCAGGTTTTGGGTGCTGTGGCAGAGTGGTTAACATGTTGTCTTTTTCTAGCCGGCGCGATGACATGGAGTCTCTAGGATATGTGCTCATGTACTTTAACAGAACCAGCCTGCCCTGGCAAGGGCTGAAGGTACAGATCACTAATGCACCAAACTTGCAGTCTTGTGAAAACTAGATAGATATTAATCCAAAAAATATATTTGTTTTTATGTAGCTAACCAGACTAATGGAATCTATTATGCTACATTCTGGGATTTCCCATCAAGCCATTGGCAGTAGTTTCTTTGATTGAAGGGGCAAACAAACTGCCAGGCATTATAATGTGAATGCATTCTTGTTAGGCTGCCACTAAGAAGCAGAAGTATGAGAAGATCTCAGAGAAGAAGATGTCCACACCTGTTGAGGTTCTGTGTAAGGTACGTGACCATGACCTTATGACCTTTTCATCGCTTTAGGAAAAAAAAAAAGTAAAACGATTGGGAAATGTCAAATGGGCAAAGAAGTATGCTCGAGACAAATGTCTCTTTTTTTCTAACTAATTAGCTAACTCAAAGCATAGCTAGACTGGATCTGCTGTTATGTCTCACTGGCATTAAATTGGTCAGTGTCACGTAAAACGATACACAGATAAAATATTTTCTGTCACTTAAGCTGCAGTCAAATACAGATACTTTTGACCATGGCTCCTATAGGTCAAGTTGAGTATACGCTTATAATTGATGATACTAAATTATGATTTAGGCCTATATGACAAAGTAAAAGCTAAAGCAATAGTTAATTTAAATACTTAAAAGTTAAATAGACCTACTTATTTAGATGTCTAGTACAGTATGAACATTAGCTGAAATGTGTCATTAAAATAAATAAATAAAATGACAGTTTCATACTAAGGCTTGAAGGAAAGTGAGACAGTTCAGACTGGGGTTCGAGAATGTCCACAGAAAGTTCTTTTAGAGCCGTGTTTCAAGACCAATGTCTATATGGGCTTGACACTGCTGTTTCTATGCAGGGCTTCCCCGCAGAGTTTGCCATGTATCTGAACTACTGCCGCGGACTGCGCTTCGAAGAGGCCCCTGACTATATGTACCTGCGCCAACTCTTCCGCATTCTCTTCAGGTAAGCATACAAACTACCTGCGCTGGTCAAAACCCTTTACATATGAATGCCGTTTGTGTGTGCTGGCCAGGTATTGGCGCTAAATGAGAAATGAGCAGACTCTTCAGCAACTAGGTGAATAGTCAAAACACAGTAGAAAATCTAGTTTTAAGTGCTAAGTACCCATCATAATAGCTTTTTAAATAAACCAATGTAGGAATACTAAATGTTTTGAAGCTGGAATTGCATTATGTTCCTTACTTTTGCCTCCATTTCAGAAATAAGAGTCTTACTTCTGTACAAACTTTCTAAACATACTGTTTGTCCTGGCAGAGATGATACTGAACTCAATTTAATATGGATGGACTCAGGATTTGAAGAGATAATAACAGGAGAAAAGAGAATTACCTAATCTACCACAGAAATGAACGTGCCCTCCAGCTCAAATACATGGGCTTAATTATCAACATATTGAGATTAATATGGAAGCTTTTGTGTTATGTCTTCCAATTTGAAAATGTTTAAGTTTAAATAAAAATCACATGCATTTACAGCACTTATTTGAGGATGTCTAGACCCCATGTTGTAAAAGCGGGGGAAATCCTTTTTTCCATGTTTCTGATTTAGTGGCTGAACCTGTGTACATGGGAATGCTTGTCACAAACATGATGGTTTCTCCAGATTTGATATGAATAATTTAAACGACAAATTGTGAAGAGGAGCTGAGGAGGTTTGAGAAACAGTTGTAAACTCATCTGTCCACCAAGCAGCGCTGTGCTACCTACTGATGTGCGGTAGTGCACACAGTAGAAATAATTATACTGCATCTTTACAACTTGGGGATTCTTGAATGAAATGTGTAGTTATTGTCTTGCATTACCTTGATTGTTGTTGCAGGACTCTGAACCATCAGTACGACTACACGTTTGACTGGACCATGCTGAAACAGAAAGCTGCCCAGCAAGGGGCCTCCTCAGGGGGCCAAGGCCAGCAGGCACAAACCCCCACAGGCAAGCAAACTGACAAACCCAAGCCTAACATGAAAGGTTAGTAGCAAACAGCCAAGCGACGTTTGAGACATCAAATCATCTACCAGCCACGTAGGACCATAGACATTCAGTGTGCCCTTGCCTATTACTCTATTCCAAGTTTGTTGAAAACCAAAAACAAACAATTGGAGATGCAAAATGCTGCAATAAAAGACTGATTGGCTTGTTTTTTCAAAGTAAAGACGTCCTTGGGGAATTTGACTACTAACTTTGCCACAATGCTCTTCTGTTCCTTTGTTTGGGCTGGTCTTTTCTAGTGTTTCCACACTGACTTAGTGTTAACATGCCAACAACGTGCCCTGTTGTGGACATGTTTTTAGCACACTGCTCTGATTCCACACTTTATTCCCTCTTACTTTGTGATGTCTGTGACTGAGTGGGAGTCTGAGGACTGGCTCTGCCTAAATTGGTGCAACCAGCTGTTTTGATGATATAAAATTCCACTCTGTGCGTCTGTCTGGAACAAGCTATGTACACATGTTTAAGGCAAGGCAAGTTTGTTTGTATAGCACAGTTCGTACACAAAGTAATTCAAAGGGCTTTATTGAAGAAGAAATGCATTAAAACACAATACAAACAAACAAAACATAAATAATCATAAAATAAAAAAGAGAGAAACATTCAATCAGAGAGAAGAGTGCAGAATGAAAACCATTCAGTCATATGCAGAGCCAAACAGAACTGTTTTGGTTGAATCTGAAACTCTGACTCCCTGTGTTTAGTCGTGACTGTGGGCACCAGCAGGACGCCGGTCCCTGAGCTCCTCAGAGTGCGAGATGGTTCATATGACACTAACATGTCAGAGATGTACTTTGGTGTTAGGCCGTGGAGAGACTTGTACACAAGCCGAGCCGCTTTAAAGTCTATTCTCTGAGCCACAGGAGCCAGTGCAGAGACCTGAGCACAGGACGCATGTGCTCGTACCTCCTGGTTTGAGTCAGGACCTGAGCTGCAGTGTTCTGGATGTACTGCAGCTGTCTCACAGTTCGTCTGGAGAGACATTGAGAGGCTGATACAGGAGTCTAACTTACTGGAGACAAACCTATGGATAAGTCTCTCCAGGTCTGATTTAGACAGTTTACTTCTGATTTTTGCTATGTTTTTAGATCATTAAAGGCTGCAGACATTATTGATTTGATGTGGCTGTTAAAGTTCAAGTCTGAGTCCATTATTACCCCGAGATTTCTTGCCTGATTTGAAGGTTTTAGAGAGAGAGACTGGAGGTGACTGCTGACACGGTCTTTTTGTTTCTGTGGACCAAACACTGACTTCAGTCTTGTCTGACATTAGCTGGAGAAAATTGTTTTGCCTCCACACTGATCTGTTGGATGCAGTGGCAGAGTGAGTCCACTGGTCCATAGTCTCCTGCTGCCAGTGAGACATAGATCTGTGTGACGTCTGCAGAGTTGTGGTAGGACACATTATTGCTGTGTATGAACTGGCCTAAAGGCAGCATGTAGGGATTGAACAAACGTTTTCTGTAGAGTAGCTGTGATGGTAGGGTGATGTTAAGGTTAATAGAGGAAGCATTTCACAAGTGTCTCATTCAGCAACTGTGACTCTACAGTGATCATAATGAAATAAAATGATAGGATGTCATAAAATGTCCCCCAGTTAGGACATTTCAGTGTTGTAACGCAAAGTAGAAAGAGCAGTAGAAGTGTAAAATCCAATAAGAGGTACAGTAATAAAACACATTTTGAGGATCATATGGAGCTCCTGCGCTCCCGTGACTAAATTTGACAGGGACGGCATGTTGTTAGTGGTGGATTAGCGGTAATGGATGGCACAAAGTTTGCATTGGGAGTTTTTTGCCATTAAATGAAATTAGACAGTGATTTGTCTTAGAACTAATCAGACTAACCTGGCACAGGTCTGATTTTAAAGTAGTGTATAGATATAGATCAGGTAGATTTTGCCTCGACTTAGACATCACAATATTATACAATATTATAATAACAAAGAGCAAAAATATAAATGGTAATAATAAAGTCCAAAAATAAGTAGTAAAAATGGCAAAAGACGGGTGTCAAAAAGGTATAATTATATAAATGTATATATACAAGTAAAAATAGAATATAGAAAGTAATACAAATATCTCAGCTATAATTCTGCAATGGCTTGACATTTGGTTTACTTTTTCACCTTATCAAAAAGGGTCCCGTGTGTGTGTGTAAATCTGCTTTATTATGAAGCCCTGTACCTATAACAATGACTGATGACTGAAATTGATAAAATAGCAAAAATATGGTGCAAATGTTGTAGCTACATAGCAGCTAAATCACTCATGTCAATGTAATAAACACACAAAAACACTGATTTAACTTAAGTTTTTGAATTTGTTTTGTACAGTCCACATTTCTAAGCAGTCCGTTAACGTTTAACGTATTAACAGTGTTCAGCAAAAAGCATTTGGGATCATATCTCTTCAGTCTACTCTCTCTGCCTCATTAATAGACTATTTAATGCCAATGACAATACACCGACTTTGAGTTTTTGAATCATTAAGTTAAACCAAGAAAAATATCAGTGTAAAAATACATTGATAGATTGATTTATGTATGGTTTTGTTTAGCTGCAGAAATCTACTTCCACCATCAATCTGGAGCTTTGTAAATCCAGTAAAAGATTCAGGCTTTCCTCCTGTTTTTATTAATGCATACATTCCAGTGCAACAATAATTCACAATCTCTGAAACTCTGATAAAGTTTGTTCATTACAGCTGAGGCCATTAGTTTCTATCGGAGTTCTCAGCCAGTCCACCTCCAGTGTGGGGTTCAGAGGTGCCAGTTTGGGGTTCAGTGGGGTTCAGAGGGTTGTGCCTCGTCAATGAGGGGGATGATTTTTTTGTAACTACTCACACATGTGCAACCAGAACCAGTGCAGCTCAGTACTGTACTGTCAGTGCTGCCTAGTATTCACATTAAATTAATTGTTCATTTGAGTAATAACATGAGAAATAACCTTTACATATAGCTCTCTCCCCTCCTCCCACGTCTTGGGTCCACCTTCCCTCTGCTCCCAAAGCAGCAACAGACACAGCTGAGCTAAGGATAAGCTCAGGCTTAAACTCAACCACCTTTTTATTCTAATAAAAAGACGCTCACGTGACGTTGTGCCATTCTGCTCTGCCTCTACTCTTTGAGCTTATTACAGATGAATAATGAGATGGGGCATTGAGGAAAAATTTAGACAAATCTTTTTTAAGTTTATAGCAACTTACATTTTCTCAAACCAGATCTGTTTTACAGATGACCTGCTTCTCGCTTACCCTCTCACTAAAAAAGTATTTCTTAGCTGGTTACATTACAAATAAACATTAAGTATATAAATATATTAACTAGGAAAAATTATGTACATTTATGTCATGCTCCCTTAAGTATTCTTTTAGTTACGGGCTACCCTGCTCCTGGAACAGTTGGTCTGGAGCCCTGGATCAAGAGCCAACATTATGGCCACACCTCTTTGTCAAAACCTGGTCTCATCACATCTCAGAAGCTAAGCTGGGCCTGGACAGTACTTGGATGGGAGACCGCTGGGACCACAGGTTCCACAGTAGAGTGCCAGTGGTAGAAACTGATTATGTGTCCTTGGGCAAGACACTTCACACACTTAAAAGTGCCGAGTGTGGTGGTGGTCAGACTGATAGTAACGCTTCCGTCAGTCTGCCTCAGGACATGTTTATCATTATTATTATTATTATTATTATTATTACTACCTGAATCAGATTTCTTATTTGTAAAGGGACAGTGCATATTAATGAACGCTGAAAATGTAAATATGTAAAGATTATAGCCAGCGTGGCTAATTTCCATCTTCAGTCACTCAGCAGGTTGATGTGAAATCATCTACAGGACAGAGAAAAGTACATAAAACCAGCACACACTATACATACAACACACTCACTATACACACAAATTGATTTCAAACTGTTCATTTGAAGGTCAAAGTCAAGAGTTTAACAGTTAAACCAAGAGTTAAACCAACAACCCCTCATCACTGCCATTTAGGGCTACCTAACAATGTTAGCATCTTTAGCAAAAGCTTATGGAAGCTCAGTGGTTACAGTCAAATGCACAGGAGTGGACGAAGTGCTCAGTTCTGTTACTGAAGTAAAGTACCTCAAAATTAATTGTACAGCTGGGGATGTAGACTTTGTCTATTAGACATTTGATGGTTGTCTAAGGCACCTGTAACAAGCTCTGATATATACACCGGGCACAGCAAACAAAAACAGGATTTTCACATATCCACATACGCCTTATGGCACTACACAAATCCTCTTCTACTGGCCACATTTGATTAGAATTTCATAGGCCAGGGTTTACATATGTCTGTTCTAACTTGGGCTATTCTTTGAGTGACTGCTGTTCTATGTGGGACTGGTGGTTTCTATTGTATGTTCTATGTGGGAATGGTGGGTTCTATTGTATGTTCTATGTGGGATGTGGAACTGGTCTGTTCTGTGTTGCTCATCTGTTCTAACCTGTGCTGTTCAGTTTTGGGTTGGTCTTGTTCTAACCCTTTCATCTCTTTGTAGGTTTTTAGCTCCACAGAGGCGGCTCCATGACCAATGCACCCTCTTCTGGACGAGCAACCAACAGAAAGTCTGTGTCTCTCCTTCCATATTAACTATCTATGTAACGGAAATGTATAGATCTACAGACACCTGTCCGCTGTCTCATCTATATATTCATATGTATATAATAAATCTCTCCAGTCCAGACTGCACACCTGTAGGCCGCCGCTGGACGTGGACCGTAGCCCTGCCCCCATCTGTTCTTCCGCCTGTCTCTGTCCTGTCATTGTAGACTTTTGTAAGGTTTATTTGAACCTCTAATAAGATAGTTGGCTGTTTTTGTTGGGGTTATTTTTATTCTTATTTCTTTTTGGAGGGTGAAAACCAGAAATGTTTTGCTCTCTCCTAATTTTACTTTTATCAAGCAAATGTAAAAGATGTAAAACTTTGAACTGGTTTCCCTTGTTGAGATGATTCAGCCCTGGATGAAATTTGCGAGTTTCAAAAATCACATGTTGGACTTTGTTCTTTTGTTTTGTGCTCATTAGGAGTTTGCCTGTTGATGAACAATGGTCGAGGTAGAATGACGCTCTGGCTCTCTCCCTTTCTCTTTAGAGTTCTGGATTACTATTAAATCTGTTGTAAAACCTCTGAACCTCTCCAAAAAATCCAAATAAAAACATTATACAAGCCAGGTCTTGTAAGTACCGTACGTCTTTGTCCCTCACTTGACTTATAGGTATTTGGGCTGGGCAAGTAAATCGTCAGTGCCTCCTTTAATACTGCTTCATGACCAAACACAGACTCTTGTCCCCACTCACTGCTCCCTTCTTAAGGCTCTGAGTGAGTGATGGCTGGAATTAACATTACAAAATGAAGTATGAAACCTCAGACCAAGCTGGTGCATTTCTTGCATTTAGCAGAATCTTGTGTTTTTAAACGTGCTTTTTGGACTTTAAACAACCACTTGATGATTATTAGTTGGCACATAACTAATTAGCCTTGGTGATGCCTTTGAACCCTTATATTTGAAAGTCTATTTGAAAAATGAAAAAATGTACTTCTGGAACCACAGTGGGCGGTCACTGTTGAGCTCCTTAAAGATACTAACTGCATGAATTGACATGACACAATATGTGACACAATAGTCAGTGTGATCTGGCTCAAAGAAAATGATGCTATTCATTTTTTTTTTGTCACAGCACCTGCCCCTAGACGTTGGTGGAGTCAAGATCATATCTGAATCTCCGTAACCTCTCAGGGCATTATACTGACTGTGGTCATATTAGTTTTGCCACATCACTTGTCACAGGCCAGGTCTCTGTGCTCTTTCTGCAGGATGCCTGCTCTGTGCTGGCTTCAGGGTCTGGGCACAACACAAACACACACACTTTCACCTTAAGGAACTGGAACTATATTTTCAGTTTTCTTTTTCATGTTGAATAGTGCAACAAAAACAAGGGGGATTTAAACGTGCAGATTTACTGTTACATTCATTTGAGTAACACTTTGAAGTAAAAGTTTTGGTTCCTCTTCCCATTGTGAGGGACAAAAACCTTATATTGACAATGTGAAATGATTTTAACATTTGTGTTCATTGCACCACTCCTTCAGATGAAATGTTTGTGTGTATCCTGTCAAAATACCAGATTGTGTGTTTATATAATGTTTTGGCCTCCTGGTTTATAATTTAAAGTTAAAGCAATCTATATTGTCAGTATTCCTTTTTCATGTTGAATAAGAAAACAATCATGGTTTCCTGTTGAATATTGTAACTGTTGGGATGCATCCCGTTTTAGTTGAACAGGAAGTCGTGTGTGTCTCTGAAACTTTAGTTGATCTTCAAAGTGTAGTAGGTTATGTAACATTAACCTGCTATTTTACCTAATTTTACCAGATTAAAAACAGATTTTATCAGTGTAATCATTTATTCTCTGATTTAAAATGTGGAGTGTGTGTGCCTATAAACATGAAATTGTAATGAATAGTCCTTGTGCAATGAGTCAGTTGACCAATCGGCAGGGTAGAGTAGCCAAAATTTGTACTCAAGTAAGTGCAACATGACTTTAGAATGATATTACTCAGAAGTACAATAGTGTATTACTGTAGTAGTAGTTAAGTAGTGGCCCAAGAAATAACACAGTTAGAGGAGTAAAGTATTTGTGAAAACTAGGCCTCCTCCTCAAGTAACTGTTGGGGTATAACTAACATCTGATTTATAATTTGAAGTTGATGTAATAGAAAGGCCAAAACATGAGAAAAACTAAATCATATCTGAAGGAATGGTGCAAGAAACACAAATATTCAAATCATTTTATATTCTCTACATCTCTTCTCAGACTACTGTTACAGTACTGTATTTTCTTCAATAAAAATATTACTCTGGTAGATAGTGCTGCTACAAAAGTACAATTTTCTGTGGAAAGTTACTCAAGTAAATCCACCTTTATATGGGTAAATTAACAGTATGGTTAGGTTAAGTAATTATGGATCACACTCAAGGAACTGATTGAATTCAATGTAATGTCCACATAAAGCATGGAACCCCAACGTGTGGGCAGTGCACCCCATAAAAAAGAAACCATTGCAAACATCTATTTTATTTAGAATTAAACATACCGTACATACTACATGATCCTGTTTTTGTTTTTTCCCCCACTATTTTAGTCTGTGAACACCGAGCACTGTGGGTGATGTCACGCTCATTTAGTTCACGGTTTCATACAGTCTGTGGTCCGCAATACTTGACACCCAAATGTGCATGAGAGAGAGTTGCTTCTTTGTTCTAATTTTACAGAGATGTCAAGCCCCACCCTCAAGAACAGTATTTCCAGGAATCCCCCTTTGTGATTGGTGAAGGGATTCCTGGGAAAACTGGACCCCGGGAGTGAGGATCTGCTGTTCCGCTTTGGGCCGGGAATGCTGGATGCTTCAGTGCAAGTCCTGCCCTCTGTCCTGAGCTACAGTGCTTCATCTCAGACTACCAACTGACCAGAGATGCAGCACTGCACCAGAGGCCACAGGAACCTGGGTTATGCCACATGACGCCGACAGTTCTTCTAGACAGTAGGGCTGTCGAAAGTATCAGAAATCAATGAGCAGGTATTGATACTTAAAAAGTAAAAAGTATTTCTGTTCAAGGGACAGAAATGAACATGTCCTATATAATGTTAGAACTGTGGTCGTGAAACTACAGATACTGGAACAAAAATATACTAAAGTCACATGAAAATAATAAAAGTATAGCTATTAAATTGACAGTTTTCTTTGTATATTTTTGTTTACTCAAATTATCAGTGTGTTAAAAATAAGTCCTCACAGGTCTCTCAACAAAATACTTTTAGTTTTGAGTCTAGTTCAAAAATGTAGTGAAAAAGTAAGTAAAAGCTGTAAGTTAAGTATCCTTTTTTAAATTCAAAAGTACAGATAGCGTATCTAAAACCAAAACTTTTACTTTGTTACATTCCACAACTGCTTTAGAATGATCTTGTGCTGTTAACGAACAAGTATAAGAGTAGTATGTAGTATGACTAGTCTGTCAGTCTAACCCCGGGGCAGCTGTGGCAGCTGTGGCTACAATAGTAGTCTACCACCACCAAGTGTAGAGTGAATGAATAATGCTAAGTAAAGTGCTTATGGAACCTATATGAATGATTGAGGGATTACGCAGATAGAAGGCCACGTGGTAAAGTAATATGATTTAATTTGGAAATCACATTCTATTGTCAAAAAGAGTGCTTTTTTATGATTGTGAAATCGGAATTGGTAGGCTGTTGAGATTTCCTGAAATCAAGTTTAAACCCAGAACCCTGAAAATGCAGGATGGTGCAATCCCACATTCAGCCACTAGAGGGAGCTGTCGATCTGAAACTGCTTTGAAAAGGCTGGAGACCATGGAAAGACTGTGGAGCGCACTGGAAAAGGTAAGGTCCACCTGTAAGACACAAAACAGAAGAACCGGACCTTGAGAAGAGTTGTAGGCAAGTATTCATCACATTTCAGGGCCTTGATTACGCTGTTTTCTGATCTATGTTACAATGTTTCTTCATCACAAACCTACCTGGAGTTGTACTTTGTTTTATTCACATGTTACAAACAAATCCTGCATATTTAATTCTTTCAAACTGAAAACAGTCCACTTTGTGATGTCATGTGGTAATACTGGCTCCATTGTATTTTTAAACTTCATACACCTTTCGCTAGAATCATTTGAATAATTTCAGCCCTAGAAGTGCCAATCTCTACTGAACAAAAGGAATGACCTCACCTCATGACATCACAAGGTGGAACAGAGCATTTTGAGCTTTGGAAATGTAGACAGACTGATAAAAAAGGGTTACATAAATGTGTGAATGAACAAAACACAACTCTGGAATTGTTTTAAGGAGGTAACATTGTAAAGCTTTATATGGTATGAAGCTCGTAAGAGTCAACTTTGTGTAACATAGGACCTTTTATAACATAGATCAGAAAATAGCGCAATATATGCCCTTTAAGATATGGGCTAATTTAGACTAAAGTTAGGGTTAAGGGTTAAGGTTAGGCAAGTAGTAATTATGGTTAGGATCAGTCTCCGGGAAATGAATGAAGTCAATGTAATGTGCCCACAAAGCATGGAAACCTATCAGTATGTCGTGTGTGTGTGAGTGTGTGTGAGTGTGTGTGTGTGTGTGTGAGTGTGTGTGAGTGTGTGTGTGTGTGACTGTGAGTGAGTGAAAGAGAGAGAGGAATGCTCGGCCAGCCCATGCTGACCATATAAGGACGCGGCACGCTGTTTATTTTTGGAATCATGGAAAATGGGATCAGCGCTGCTTTGGATAAACATTCCCTTCTTCTTCTTCTCGTTGCAGTCTGCGATGGCTCACTCTGATTGTCTGCAACCTCCCCTCCTCCTCCTGACCCCCCCCCCCCTTCCTTCCAGTAGACCCCCTTCCCCTCCTGTTCCTTAGACACACATTGCCTTTTCTAGTCACAGCTCCCGTCCTCTGGTGCTGGGGGTTGCTTGAGAACGGGAGAGAAGAGGGTTTTTTTCTTAATATGGTGTTGGAGCACAGTCTCTCCTCAAAAGACCCGCTGAAGCCCGCTCCACTGGCCTGATGTCCCCAAAGCCACAACCTAGCACCCTCGTTCCCAAAAGTGTGAGCCCTAGCCCTCGCCTCTAAAGCCCCAAACCTCTGACTCACCCTTAAAGCTCTGAGCAAGCAGCCCTCGGCCCCATAGCATGTCCCACCAGCCCCAGACCCACCAACCCTCGGCCCCATAGCGTGTCCCATCAGACCCACCAGCCCTCAGCCCCATAGCGTGTCCCACCAGCCCCAGACCCACCAGCCCTCGGCCCCATAGCGTGTCCCACCAGACCCACCAGCCCTCAGCCCGGCACTTTCCCCCAGGACCCCACTGCTTCCTGTTCCCATGCTCCGCAGGGCGCTGCTCTGAAGCCGGGCAGTCTATATAAGGACGTGCTCAGTAGCATTAGGCCTTTCCCATTAGACCTTTCTTCACTGGATTCCTGTTTGATGTGAGAAGCCCACGTCACACACATTTGAAACAACACATTAAAACACATTTAGTTATGAATCTAGTGATGGAACATGGCTGGTATATGACATTCAAATGGAACAGTTGTAGTGCTATTCATGACCTTGGACAGCAGAGGGGTAGTACTCACTTACATTTACTCAGTTTCATTTACTTAAAGAAATACTTTTAAGA